GACCTCAGATAAACATAGAAAACAAACAGGTAAATATGTTTTTAAAAAAATGCATTATGTCAAGAAAAACGCTTGTTTATGGATGTTGGCCAAGATGACTGGCTACTTGCCGTGGTAACAACAGAGAGAAAATTCCTTTTGCATTCAATTCCTGCAAGAAACGAAGGCGTTCGGAAGTAGCCCGAGTGGTAATAGTAGCAGTAGAAGGATTCGACTTAATTGTCATGTGCAAAAAGACATTTCACGATGCAGTCTCTGTGTGTTTCATCCCTTAGCTGTAAACACAAACCGGACTATGCATCCGGGTAGGAGTGGGAATCGTCAGTACAGCCTTCTACCCGCCGTGTATTGAAGGGACATGTAACTAATTTGCAAGACGGAGACGTGAAAGAAAAAGTGTAACACTTGCCAAGAGCAATCGCACGCTGGCACGATGACACTCCTCTTCCGAGGGTTGCTCGAAAGCAAATTGACGGTGGGTTTGATTGCCTTGCATGCGTCATTACCAATTTACCATCGAAACGAATTTTAATTTTAATTGGTATTTATGTTTGTGAAAGATGTAAGGAAATAAAAAAGGAAAATGAACGAATTGCAAAAGTACTGCGATTGCCCGAACTGAGCCCTTGCCCTTCAGAACAAGGGAAAGTGACACTCTGTCTTAAACCCATCACTGTCTTAAACCCATCATTTATAAGGACTATAATTGACAGGGTGAATGTTCAAAAAATGAACCTATTAGGTGAACGAATGAATGTATTCGCTTTGCTGAATATACCGAATGCTGAATAATCTAACTGTCTGTTGCCAGTGGAGAATGCTGCGCGATTCGAGGAACCACGGAGCTCTTCTCACTCGTTCCTGAAAAAAACGCTACCAGCAAAACGTAACACAATCACATCGCAGCTGCACCAGGCACTCGTCTCCCGAAGCGATGCTGTGAAAGCGCTGTCTTCCAATTTCCAGCAATCGCTGGGATCGGCTGGACAAGTCGACGTCATGCACGAATCGCGAAACATTCGCCACAGGGAACACTCTCACCACTGGGTAACATTACCCGCCATCACGGGGAGATTTTTTCGCGGCCGTGCATAAACAGCAACTACTATCCCTCGGCTCGGCTGAGCTCGGTTGGCGCCACACACAATCAACAAGAAGTTCTGCCAACGGCGGGTGTACTTGCTCCACTGGGACAAACGTCGCTGGATGTCGCATGATGGGTAGTGGCGAAGAGAGTGGTATGTGCAAGCTTCGGATGAGGGAATTTGGGGCGGGAGGGTGGGTGAAATGAGTGATTACATGGACGTAGGCCCTTTGACAGCTGCCTAGACCACATAAGGCAAATTAAAGCAAGCCTGGGCGCAGGAATAAAAGCAAAATGAAAAGAAAAATGTGAATCTAAAGCGAAAAATAATAAATAGCAGCATGCATCAGAATAGCCGGTGCGATCATGCATTTTGTGCTATTCCGTCCACCGAACGATTGCCTGTTAATGATTTTCACTGTTTTGTACTTTGGCCTGTACAAAAATAGTTGAAATGTTGAAAAATAGTTAAAAATTTCACGTATCGGTATCGGAAAGCTGAACTTGAAAGCTGGAAGGATGAATATCCTTTCAAAATTTCAGCCTCCTAATTTTCTGGCTTTCGAATGATCTCTGAGACGGAATTTTCACGTGGTTGGATGTGAGACCTCGGCATACTTGGCAACTGAATTCGAGCTTGAGAAGCCCCTGCTTAGACAGGAAACATTCTCCTGAAATTTTCAGCCTTCTAACTCTTCTTGCTCCCGAGATAATGATTTCTCCCACCAAAACTTGCACGAGGACGCTGGGATTAAGAGTACGTGAGAGCTGAGTTTGAATTTGCGGAGTCGTACATAAGCAGGAGAAACTACGCCAATATTTCATTCTGTAGCTTTCGTGGTTCCCCAGATACTAATTTTCCCCGTCAATTATATGTGATACCCAGACGTACAGTAAGACTAAATTTAAACTTTGCAGGGTTGTACTTGGTCAGGGACATTATCGCAAAATTTCAGCTTCCTCTGTTTTATGGTTCCCGAGATAATAATACCCCGTCAACATTTTCACAGGTCGGTAGGTGATACCCGAGAGTGCGATTTAGATTTTTCGGGTCATACGTGGATGGGAGTCATTACCTTGAAACTTCAGTTTCCTAGATCCCGTGGTTTCCGAAATAATCTTCCCCGCCAAAACTTTCATAAGGCTGTATGTTTTACCAGCGGGCACGGGAAGGCTGAATTTAAATTTGCGCGGTCACACGTGGGCGGGTAACATTCCCCCAAATTTTCAGCATCCTAACTTCTACGGTTCCCAAGTTGAAAGTTGCGGACAAGACGCATCGGACAGCTGCTGCACAGTATAAAGCGCATAAAAAACAAAAGCAAACAAAGCCCAGGCTAGAATGCACGAGGTTTGCCGGTGCTATCATGCGTTTTTGCATCAAAATTGAATTACTCAAGTCATTAACTGCATGAATGGTTGTTGCTCTACACGTACCTTTTGCGCTCCTTAGCGTAAATCGTCGTAAATTTTGCATAAAAGAAGTGAGCAGTTTCCGTTTAACGGTCCTTCTTTGAAAATGACCTGACTATTCAGTGAGCAGTTTTCCCTGCAAGTCTTCCACGTGCCCATAGGTGAGAACCAGGAGCACCTCCGTGAAAGTTTTTGGCAGTAAAACGGCTAATTCGGGAACCAAGAAAGCTGGGAGGCTGAAAATTTCAAGGAATGTTCCTAGCACAAGTTTAATTTAAAATTATCAAATTCAGCCCGTTAGAGTGTGGTTTTCACATACGGCCCCGCAAAAATTTTTGGTAGGAAGATTACTAACTCAAGAACCAGAAAATTTGAAAAGCTGGAATTTCAACGAAATGTTCCCTCTCCAAATACCGCGTAGATAATTAATTTCCCGAACTTCGAAGTCCAGTATATCACACATTTCTAGCTACTGGATTTCCGAGCGATCTCATTACGGCACGAATTAATGTAAAAATGCATGATCGTACGGGCCTGCCCGGTGCGCGTCGCCAGTGATTATTATGCGTTTTTTGCATCTATTCAATGCAGAAAACGCATATTGACGAGAGGTTGTCTGTGTGTGTATTTCTGTGTTTTCATCTGTACCGATTTTTCATCTCCAGACCCACAAACGCTACAGGGCTGAAACTTTGGGAACATAATCTACATGCGTGTACGGGCCTCCCTCTCTGAAATGGGCACCCTTACCTGCATGGTACCCACGTACGGGCTCGCCAAAATTTTTTCGGGTAAGCTGCTAACTCGGGAATCTGAAAAGCTAGAAAATGGAATTTTAAAGGGATGTTTCCCGTCCAAATAGGTATTAATGAGTTCAAACCCGGTCCATAGGTATGCGTGGTTCCTATGTACGAGCTCGTGAAAGTTTTTTGTGGGTAAGTTACTAACTCGGGGACCAGGAAGGATCGAAAGCTGAAATTTTAAACAGATGCTTCTTAACAGTCCTGGCGACCAGTCTTAATTCTTTTAGCTA